CCTAAGAAACAAAAACTTGAGCAATCTCGTCACATCACCGAGCTTGTGTTTTCCCTTTTTCCAGGTGATCAATTGTTATCATTGGAACAATTTCTTCATTCATATAGAGCTGTTCGATCTGTACTTAATTCCAACAAGCTTTCAGACTCCATTGAAGAATTGCTTTGAGAAAAACACGACAAGAACAATGTTCAGTGTGCCAAAATGTGCGATTGGCTGTTTCAGTGATGTGGACAAATGTCGCAATAAATTTTTAATAATTTTCAAAAAAATTCATCCTGCAACATGTCATCGGCAAGCAATAAACCAAGAGTATTGATTTTGGGAGGCACAGGCTTTGTTGCCAGACATTTCGTCAAGTATTTGATTGAAAATGATTTGGTGAGCAAGATTAGAGTGGCCGATAAACAATTGCCAAAAACTGGTACGTGATTTTGATGATGGGTACTCATCATCACGAATCCCTAATATTTCACGTGATGAACATTTGTACTTTTTGAAAAACACCAACTACGTTTTTTATGAAAATGCAAATTTACATGAAACGTTTTGAATATTTGCTTTATTGACCAACATACCATGGTTGATCAACAATATTAATTTCTTCTGAATCATCATCATCATGATGGCATTGACACACCGATCATCTTCCAATGAACACAACAACAACTACATAACAATATTGTTTACGTATACATTTGCAAATTATATATTACCATGACGCAATTATCATAACAATAGCCTACATGTCCGATGATTTGCTCAACATTTATGAGAACAATCCTCTTGTTGAATACAAACAAGCTAACCTCTCCAATCCTCAACACATCAAGAAGGCTTTTGAAGATAGCACAGGTCCATTCAACTTTATTGTGAATTTGGCTGCAGAAACAAGATATGGTCAAGAAGAGGCAACCTACAAACAAATGGTCTATGACATTTCTGTGAATTGTGCCAAGGAAGCTCTCAATTATATTTCATCAATTGAGAAATATATTGAAGTGAGTACTGCTCAAGTCTATGATTCCGGTAGCAAGGCAAGTAAAGAAACTGACAAGCTTGTTCCTTGGACATTATTGGCTAAATTTAAAGCACAAGCTGAAGAAGAATTGAAAAAGTTATCACCTGAATTTGCTAAAAAGTTAATCATTTTACGTCCTGCCATTATTTATGGACCTGCAGATTTGAATGGATTGACTCCACGTATTACATGTGCCTGTACTTATACTTCAACAAATGAGAAGATGAAATTATTGTGGAGTGGTGACTTGTGTATCAATACTGTTCATGTGAGAGATGTTGCTCGTGCACTTTGGCATCTTTATACCAATACTAAAACCACTGGTCCTCTAACATTTAATTTATGTGACAAGAATCAAACAGACCAGAAAAAGATGAACGAAATTTTGGAGAAGATTTTCGGTATTGAGACTGGATTTTTCGGTACTTTATTATCACAAGCTGCAAAATTGAACATGAAAGGAGCTGCAGATACTGCAAACGAAAATCACATGTTACCATGGAGTGAAATGACAAAGCAAAGTGGTATCAAATTCACACCACTCTCTCCTCATATTGATAAGGAATTGTTGTACAATAATTCTCTCTCTGTGGATGGATCACTTATTGAAAAGGAAACTGGTTTTCACTATGAATATCCAAAGATGACAGAAGAACTCATCCTAGAACAAATCGATTACTTTAAGAAGTTGAACTTGTTCCCTAACTTTACCAAGCTTGAAAAGAAGAAGTAATTGTTTGGTCCTTGATTGTGTGTGTGCTGTATTATTAGAAATTGATAAAATTCTTCCAACATACTTTCCTGTTATCTTTTTTGAATCCATTCCGAAAAGAAGAACCTTGAGAAACATCTTACTCGAAAGTCAACACTTTGGTAATGTCGTGTTTAAACAGAAGCTGGTCCTCCGTCACAATCTCGCATCCACACTCAGCAGTTGAGGAAAAAAATGCGTGCAAACCGGAAGTGGTTCAATGTGAGCAAATTCCGATTATTACTCTCTTCGTCATCATCCTACTGCTATCGGAATGGTTATTGCTTCGACAAGAGCACTCCCTACCTGTTATTATCAACAACATCACATCATTACCACCATTGTTCCACATTTTTCAACACTAACCATGGTTTGAAATTGCAAAATATTGCCTCTTCAGAAACAAGCGAAGCTTTCGATGATGTTATTCTAGATGAAGAGCAAGATCAACAACAAGCACAAAATATCATTATATCGTTTGATCCACTCACACTACAAAAGAAATATACATATACCTTTGGAGGAATTCCAGTTCCATCTCCTCCTTTCGAAATGAGTCCTCCAATTATTTTGGATAGTGTGGATACAGCAGCGCGAAAACTCCAAGGAGACATACCAGTAACTTTTTCAGATATTGAATATATTTTTCGAAAAGAGGAATCTAGATTGGAATTTTCATGTGGCTCCGTTGACGAATTTCCCAACGAGAATCCAGAAATGCCACAAATTGCTTTTGCTGGAAGAAGTAATGTTGGAAAATCAAGTTTGTTAAATGCTTTGGTGGATTCGGATCGATTGGCTCGTGTTTCAGCAACACCCGGCCACACAAAACGAGTGAATTATTTTAATATGAACAATTTATTATATGTAGTCGATTTACCTGGTTATGGATTTGCAGAGGGAAATGTTGAAAAGATCCGAGATTGGAATGTAGTATTTAGGGAATATTGTGTTAGAAATTCAATGTTGAAAAGAGTATTTATTTTAATAGATGCTCGATATGGAATATATGAACAAGATTGTGAATTTATGGACATGTTGGAAGAGGCTGGAATTTCCTATCAAATTGTTTTGACGAAATGTGATAAGGTTTCTTCAGAACATTTAAATGAAATGATGAACTTTTTATACAATGAAATGAAATCAGCCAAGATATTTAAAGCCTGTTTTCCATACATTTTACCAACAAGTTCTGAAAAGATGATCGGAATTCAAGACGTGAAAGCAGCAATTATTAGAGCGAGTGGAATTTTAGAAAGCGGAGCGTTATTTTCACGAACAGAACGAGAAGCAATGGCAAGTCGAATGGAAAATATTCTCAAGAGTGATTTTCCAGACCATCCTTACTTCAAGTTGAGAGACCAAGTGTTGAAAAGCGCACAAATCACTGCTCAAAATCAAGAAAAATACTCTACACAAAGACCAACTCCTCAGCAAAATGTGGATATCAATCAACCAGGTGATCCATCTCAGCATGGTGACCTCCATACGAAACGAGAACAAAAACAGGCTGCTTCAGGAAAAAAGTTGACACCCACTCAGGAGAAAATGTTGGAAAAAGCTAAAAAAGCAAAACAAGAAAAGAAAAACAAAGTGAATCTGGTAGGTCTCGAATAATGCTCGTTACTCTCTATACGAGACTTTGGGATGCTCAACCATTGAAATTCACTTGTAAAAATTATTAAAAAAATTCTTAAAACGTTTCCACCATCCATATCTCACACTGTTGTCAAATCATGATCTTTGACATTGTCCTCGCCTTGTTGATTGCCTATTTTATTTTCTATTTATTAAAATCCTTTATCAAAATCCGAAATAATCTTTCCAAACTCAACAATGCCAAGTGTAGTAAATATTGGCAACTGATCGATAATGGTCTCATTCGTTTACCAATCCTCTCACCCTACATTGCCGGAGACAATGCAGAACTATTCACCGAATTGGCCCGGAAGGAAATGCAAAGTCACAATCATGATGATCCAAACGTTGTGGTGGACACAACCCATCAACCATGCTTTTTCACCATTTCAACACCTGGGCGAAATACCTTTGTATTTTGGGACAAAGATTCATGTAAAGAAATATTCTTATCCAAAGCATCTTCATTCGGAAAGCCCATTGAAATATTTTATGAACCTTTTAATATTTTCGACAAACATGCTTCGAGTGTCTTGACTGCTCCAGGTGAGTTTTTTCAATTGCTTTTCAAATATATTATGTGTAAATCAAATAATTGTTAATTGTATATTCGATGATAAATTCTCTTTGGGAATGTATGAAACAGATGGCCCAGTTTGGAAAAAACATCACCATGTCGTTTCTCCAAGTTTTTCAACTTCCAATCTCCAATACATGTGTCAAGTGGCAACTAAATCATGTGATTTACTTTTTAATACTAAATGGAACAAATTACTTGAAAAGAACAATAAGTTTATATTGGATGTTGAAGATTTTGCTTCTGTCACTCTTGAAATTATTGGAGAAGCAGGTTTTGGAATTGAATTTGGTATCTTTTCAGAAACCTCAGATGAAGGAATGAAATTTAGAGAAAATCTCACTCATGTCATTCGTTACGATTACATTATTCGATTTTTCTTTCGAGAAGGTTGGATGAGAAAAATTATTTCACAGCTTGTTGGAAATGAACAAGCATTGGAATATATTAGTACAAAATTGAGTCGATATATTGAACAAAGACAGGAAGAGTTTAGAAAGGACCCAGAGAAGCCCTTGAATGACTTGTTGTCACAATTAGTGAAAGCCAATATGGGAGAGGAATCTGAACAGAAATTGAATGTGAATGAACTCAAATCGAATGCGTATATTTTTGTTGTGGCTGGACATGAAACCACAAGTACCACGTAGGTTGAGATTGACAATATGAATCCATGATTACCATTTCTGAAAATATTAATTTTCAACAATTTCTGAAATTTATTGAAAATTCAAAAATTCTTCCTCATTCACTCTAAAATTTATTCCAATGCTCGTCTCTCGATACAGGCTTCAATGGATCATGTATGAATTGGGTAAAAATCGACAAGCTCAACAAAAAGTTCGAGAAGAAGCTCTTCGAATTGGAGGTCAAGAAAAACGAGCACCAACCTTTGAAGATTATCCTAATATGGAATATATTCATGCTGTTGTGATGGAAACTCTTCGTTTGGTAAGTCAAAGAGTATGAATTCATACTGTTACCTAACACACAATCGGACACTGTTCATATTGTTAACATGATACAACATGGCTAGCATCCACCCGTTCCACATATTGTGAAAGAATGTACTAAAAAAACAACCATTGGAAATACCATCATTCCAAAAGGAAGTAACATTATTCTTCCAGCTCGTACTTGCCATTTACTAAGTTCAGATTTCACAAACTCGACACTCTATCAATCGACTGATTTTGCTCCTGAAAGATTTTTGGATAAGGAATTCAAACAACGAGTGATTTCATCGTGCAGTTGGTTCCCTTTCAGTTTTGGAAATCGACGTTGCATTGGTTATGTATTTAGTCAAATTGAAACTTGCATGATTTTGTGTCGAATGGCTCAATTTTATGAATTTACATTATTGAATGATGAAAGCAATCCAAAAGAGAAGGTTACAAATTTGATTGGATTGACCATGAGGCCTTCTACCAATATGAAAGTTTTAATTCAAAGAATAGAGGACTAATGCAAGGTCCTGTTGAACAAGGAACTTGTAAGATCTTTTAGATCGTATCATAACAAAAGCGAATAAAGATAAGAGATCTACAATAACGAAGCGCACAACAAGTTGGATATTTTCTCAATGCTAAAATGCCGTCAAGCCGTGTGAAGTTTGCATTCTTTCCTTTTTCATTGTTTCAAGATCATTTTGAAGAAGGAGTTGTGAATTGTAGGAATAAGTAAAATGTGAAAAAACATTCGACATTCATGAACATTTCAACACCATCAGAAGCTTCCACGACAAAAGTGTCCCCCAATGGAGAAGGACACCTCAGCCATGAATCAAACAACACAACAGGGCAACCACAACCGTCAAACCGAACATTGCGAAAAACACCTGGATTTAGGATGAGAAAACTGCGGCATAATCAAGAGTTTAAACAAAATTATTTCGAACATCGAATGTCGTTTCGAAGAGAGGAAGAAGAGAAACCCAATCTGATGGAGCCACAAGATGTCAAAGCCCGTTCGCATCAAGAGGAAATCGCGTCAAATCTTATAAATTGCATGTCACTAGATAACACATGTGTCAACAATTCTTGGAATGAAAGGTTGGATCAACAGGTTGTAGTCAGCACGAAGTCCATAGGCACGACGAACAAGCAGTTTAAAAGGGCAGAAACTCATCAAGTTGGTGGAACTTTACAACATTTAAATACAAATTCCTCAAACATAGACATGTGGGACAACGTTCTGCCCTTAAAACCAGTTTCTTACGAGGAAGTGTATAGAGAATGGTCTGATTTGTGCAATTCAAAGCTACATAAACTTTGAAGAATAAATTCTGAGAAGAGGGATTGAATTGTCAGAACCCGCTCGCGCCATTATGTTAAAACCGTTAAATTTTTAAAAATCGAAAAATTTATCACAAACCGCCAACGTGTTTCCACCAGTTTTTCTCCTCAAAAAAAAATTCTCAACGACCACTTCCAACTCGTTCTTGATACTAGTATCCTTTCATCGTCATCAATAACGAATATTTTCGTCCGCCCTAGATTTCCACTACCCATTCTACCATAATAATAATAATCCCACAAAATGTTTGAAGCTAAAATCACACAAGGAGAAATTCTCAAGAAGATTTTGGACGCCATCAAGGAACTCGTCAATGATGCTAACTTTGATTGCAACTCGACCGGAATGGCCCTCCAAGCAATGGATACTGCCCACGTTTCTTTGGTCCATCTCATGCTCAAGAAGGATGCTTTTGAAAGATACAGATGTGATAAACAAGTTGTTTTGGGAGTCAATATGGCCGTGATGAACAAGATGTTGAAATGTGCCGGAAAGGATGACTCAATTTCTTTGAAGGCCACCGATGAGCCAGGTACTCTTTCTCTCAGCTTTGAAAGCAAATCAGGTGAAAGAATGAGCGAATTTGAAATGAAGTTGATTGAAATTGATGCTGAACCATTGGGAATCCCTGAACCAGACTATACTGCTGAAATTACCATGCCTGCTAGTGAATTCAAGAAGATTTGTTCTGATTTGTCAACCATTGGTGATACTGTTACAGTTTCTGCAAACAAGGATGGTGTTAAATTCTCAGTGACTGGTGACTCTGGAAATGGAAGCATTACTGTGAGAGAGAATACAAAGGCTGACAAGAGCAATGAATCAACAACCATTTCCTTGAAGGAATCTGTGAGTTTGACATTTGCCTTGAAGTATTTGAATACTTTCTGTAAATCTGCTTCTCTCAGTGATCAAGTTGGTTTGTACCTCTCCAAGGAATCACCATTGATGGTTGAATTCAAATTCAGTGAAGATAGCTACATTCGTTACTACTTGGCACCAAAGATTGATGAAGAGGATAATGCTGATGAAGAATAAGCAAGAGATATGCTCATTCTGTTCATCCCTAGCGTATATTCCCTTGTACTCTCCAATAAATCTAAATTATTATTCAAAATAATGATTGTAATGTGAATGAGTGTGGATGTTTGACTCCGCAGAAGAACGATAACAATAGAAAAATGCCCATCGTTGGTCTTGCTCCCTTCAAAATCACAAGAGCCACCCAGAAGTATCACACAAAATTCGGATTTGAAATTTTCAGTTGTGTGTTGCACATGATGCGAACAGCACATAAATTTGGAGAGCCAGAAAAATCAGTACGTATCATCAGCTTGGAAAATCCAAAAGGAGTATCATGATTATTGTTTAATGGAAAATCGGCAAATGTGGTTCCGATGTCAATTTAAATTTTAAATTTAATGATACATGAAATTGTAACAATACATGATCACAAAATGATGACTAATTTTTTAATAATAATAATTTCATTGCAATAGAAAATCATTAAAGAAATCAAACAAAAAGTTCGGAAACATAAATATGAAAAGAATAGAGAAAAGGTAATTTAATCAAAAGAAATAATTATTCAATATTTACTTTTTATTCTGCTATTGCAATTTTACCATCTCGAAAAGATTAACGATTTAATGTATGACCTCAAAAACGCAGTGTTTGATTTGGATTACAAGTGGCAAGTCAAAACAGGATTGGTTCCAAACATTCCAAAATCAAAAGAAACAAAACGAATGATTGTAGAATGAAAAGTATGAAGTGTCACTTGAGTTGTGAACCATTTGTTGTTCATGAGCGTGTTGGCTCGCACTGTGAAGAACTCCACGAACTTTGTACAACTCGCTTATGAACAAGTAGTCAAGGATTAATGAATAGGTGCATGCCTTTATTAACGAAACGAGAAAAAACTGAGCTCTTAATAAACATCTCGAAAGTGATTGTGGCTGACCACCTCATTGTCCGTCCAACAAAAACTTGCATTCACGGACATGTATTTCATCTCCACAAACAAAACAACCCGAATATAAACATGTCAAACTAAATGTGTGTGTTGCTACAACGTAATTACCCTTTATCTCATTTGTCTCAATCGTTTACGCTTGAACTCGTCGATTGCTACCACTACCAGGAGCATCATTCACTGTGTACTTTTGAACCAATACGTTATCGTTGTATTTGATTGAGGCCAATCTTGGAGAAGAACAATCAGCACCTTTCAATCGACATTGGCCATACAAATCATACAACAAAACCTCAACATATTGCAACACGTTAGGTGAAACGTCAGGCAAGTTGAGCCATTCACGAATCTTTGGACAAGTCATTCCAGTGTATGCATTGAATTCAATAACAGCTTTTTGAGTCGAGTCAGCAGAACAAATTCTATGTTTTGGAACATTGTTTCCAGTATAGGTTGGTTGATACACTTGATTCAAACTCTTCTTGAATACTCTCACAGCCACACCAGAGCTTGGCTTGTCAGATGTTGAAGAAGCTAAAACAGAAGCAGATGCTACATTGGGAGTTGAAATATCTTCAACCACTTCATCAGTTGAGTACAAGACATTTCTCGAACGACGATTACGTTTGATCATACCCATAACTTTCTTGATCAATTTCTTGATGGATTGAGTTGTTGTCTTTTTCTTCTTACTTCCTCTCAAAATTGTATTGACCTTCAATGGTGATTCAAAATTATAAAAGTTGATCACTGAATTGCATGAAATTTCACAAGGTTCATATTTGACAGGAATTTCAACAGGTGTTGGGTCTCCATTGTTAGCACCATTTCCTGATTGTTGACCATTGACTCCAGCACATTGTCGTTGACATTCATAGAAGGAACCAGAATTTTCAGCAAAGCCAGACTAGAAAATCATCAACAAACGAAAAACCATCAAAAGATGACAACAAATGCCAGCCGTCAGTTATTGTACAATTATGGAAATTAAAAATTCTCACCGTTATCACAATCTTACTTACCATCTTACAAAAAGTATTACAACACACCGAATTGGTTGTTCCACAAATACTTCTTCGACAATCTTTTGCGAATTTTACAGCAGCACCATGATTAGGAAAAACAGATGGACGATTTTGATTCCATGCCGATTCCGAAGAAATGACACTTGTGTCCTTGTTGTTTTCAAAACATGGTCTGAGTTGACTTTGGAACGGTGGTTCATAGGGTGGACCTGCGATGACATTTGGCAGGTGGTGAAGCGAAACAAAGAGACCAAGCACAAGGATAAGAGCCAGCAGTCCCGAACGAATCTTCATTTTGTTTTTTTGTGAAATGAATTGATCAAATGTCGTGTCTATCATCGGCGCTTATTGTCTATTTTTGTGTTGACCTCGCGATTCACTGACATCAAGTTTAAGGCTTTGTGAACAAACAGTCAAGTCCTTTCGTTATCCAATCTATGAGGTACAATTTCTGTACACTTTGTTCATTCAAACGTGGAATTGAAAGAAATTAGAAAAAAATAATTACATTGTTTTTAAACATCATTATCCAGTACTCAGAAATGACACGAAATTTTGAGAGTCCCTACAAAGTTCTTGCTCCTGTTACAAAACCTCTCCGAAAGCTTGATCTCGCGTTTGGGAGAGGCTTTGATCATATGAGAGAAGATCCTGATGTACATCGGGTCATGGATGATTGGAAAGATCGATATAGGAGTTTTTTATTTGTGAGAAGGGTAAGATTTGGAAAATCAAAAATTGTACAATTAATTGTAGTACAACAATATAATCAATATTTCATGAATATACCATCGAATTGCAACAATCATGAAATATCAAATATTGAAATTTATTGATTTTTAAATCAATTGGGAATACTGGAATATCTCTCTAATTTCCAACAATTAGTTTCAAATTGCATCTCCACAGACAGGAAAAACGAAAACTTTTGAGCCAATATATGAAAGCAATCATTCAAGTCTGGTTGGTAGAAAAATTGGAGACGTCATTGACGGAATCGATGTGTCGACTATGTTTACTGGCTATCGTTTTAAAATTTCTGGAGCGAGTGATTCGACTGGAGTTCCTCATCAAGCAGGTATTTTTCAATATGGTCGAGTAAGGCTTTTAAAAAAACCAGGATCTTTTGGCTATCCAAGTTGGAGAGCTAAAAGAAAAGGATCCATGAAACGAAAAACAGTTCGAGGTGGTATCATTGATATGGGAACTCGTACCATCTCACTCGTCATTGTGAAGAATGGTACCAGTGTCATTCCAGGATTGACTGATGGAACTCTCCCAAAAACATTGGCTCCTAAAAGAGCTTCTAAAATTCGAAAATTGTTCAACTTGTCAAAATGTGACGACGTGAGAAAATATGTCATTAAGAGAAATGCTAAAATTTGTGGAAGTTTGGCTGAGAAGGGTGTTAAAATTCAACGACTGATTACTCCTGAACGAATTCGGCGTAAACAGAAAAAACTTCGACAGTCCATGCAACGAGCTTTAAAGAGAATGAGGGATGAAGAAAATTATCACAAGAGGTTTGGAAAGAGGTTTAGTGATCATCAAGAATAGACATCTCTAACATGAACCAGCCTTTCTTGATTGACATATACATGGAACCGTGTTCAAGGTTGAATCAGAAACCATTCCATTTTCTCATCAAGTGGTTGAACTGATTCAGGTGGAAGTGTTTAAGTGGAGAATCTGATCCATTAACATGACCACTCATCTCACCTACAAAAAAAATATTCGCGAACATACATTTCCTTATTAATAGACGAACTGAGAACAATGGGAAATTCAAAGAGTCAAAGCCTTGCTCAGTCGGAATGTTCTGAACTGATCCCCATTACATCGGGTGTTTCGTATCGAGATGCCTTAATGGATCACTTTCCGAGTTTGATTCAGCGAATGGAACACTCGAGCACAGAACTAAAATCATTTCTTTCGTTTATTTCCCAAACGAGAGATTTGTATACCAACATGTATGAAACGTTTGATCAGAAAAACATTAAGGCTTTGAAATCAGGCAGGTGAGTAATGAATGATTTCAAACAATATTTATGAAATGAACATATCCATCAATGACAAAAATCCAAATATATTTGTTTGAAACGTTTTGTATGAAATTTAGCGCCGATGAAGGGGAATATGGAGTGTTTGGAAAGGTAGTTTCGGAAATGAGGCAAACGTCCTCCCAATTAAAATCATCGTGTACAGAGCTGGCAACTCTTTCAAACGATAGCAAGGCATTGAGTGATGAATTTAATAGCTATTTGAAAAAGGCAAGAAAGGAAGAGAAGAAGCTTTCAGAAGAAGTCAGTACCTTTAAAAAGAATTATGAAAAGGCATTGAAAAAAGAGGAATCTCAAAAAGCTACAAAATTGGAACTCGAGAGAATGCTCACCTTGTCAGAAAAACCACTCTCCAATCAAGAGAAGGAAAAGCTCGAAAGAAAATTACGTGACCTTGAGCCAGCTTTGGAAAAACTAGAATCTGATAATCGATTGCTTCTTCTCAAATTTCAAGAGCGAGAGGAAGTTTACAAAATTGGTCTTGGAAATATTTTGTCGCATTTAGAATTCATTGATAGAAAGAGATTTTCTCTCATGAAAGAGTTGACCAAAAGATTGTTAGAAATTCTCAAGACTGTAGGAGCGTGTATTTCAGATAATGCAGCCCAAGTGAATATCACCATTAAGAATTTGGAGGACGAAAAAGTCTTTGCCAATTTTGTTGCATCATGTCGAAATGAAGTGTTCATACCTGCTGCCACAACCACACAACCAGCAAACGAGCAACAACAAACCGTTGTTACAGAGGAAGGTCCAATGATGGAATCTAATGAAACACAAGAATAATGATTTAATGCTTTTTAACCTCAACACATGACAGCTCGCTGCTGTTGTCTTTTCAAGACGAGTCTAACCAATCAAACATTTCACCTTCTCAATGAAGAATATTTCAATAAAAAGTAAACTCTCATCGAGACCAATATAATCGATGAAACTATGGCAATGGCAATATTGGAGACAGCATCCCATGAATCGCCTGTGTCTGTTGGACCAACCAATTTGAAATAATGATTCAAGAATACCAAAACAGCTCCAACATGCAGCAAGTCACCAATTCCCAACACCAACACAGTCCAATGGAAAAATTGAGAGCTCACCAAAGCTTGTTGATTATTATTCGAAAGAATATTAAAGTTCACACGAATTAACAAGTAATGAAGCATTCCGAAACAGAAAATCATGACACCTGCAAATCGTAATGTAAACAGAATACTCTCTCTCAAGACAGGACTGCTCACTCCAGCAATTAAACCACTCATGGATGAACTGGATGACGCGACCCGATGATCATTGGAAATCATAAATTGGACCAATGGCTTTGGAAGAAACGTTCCCAATACTAACGAGCTTTCAGGAAATACAATGAAAATGAGTCCGACGAGTAATTCAAAGATGAAGGGTTCCCAATAAGTGACGAGAAGAAAGATTTGAAGAAAGAGGGAAGGTTTTTGATCGCGTGATGATGATTGCATGACGGAGAGATTTGATTGCTTTTTTTTTTGATGTGTGTATAATCGATTTGCGGAATTGTCGCACTAGAAATGATTTTGCCTTAAATGCCAAATGTCAAGGAAGTCAAGACGTCTTTGATGTTTATTCATGGGACCAATCCAAGGGGCTATGGAGTCCTTAATTACTAAAATCATTTGAATCATGGCAACAATCCAGTTACCGCAAATTGATTGAACTGAAAAAACACTTCAAACAAAAAAATGACTTTATCAAGACGTATCGATAAATTACTCTTCGAGTTGGGATATTGCTCGAAAATAGGACTTCGGGTATGTGTAGTATCTCAAATATTCCAATCATAGAATTAACATGATGAATTTCCCAATTGTTCAATTAACAAAATTTTATAACATCCCATCATTATCGGAATTGAATTATTGAATGTAGAGATTTCTATCCAATCATGAATTAACTCTCATCAAACACCTCAATAACAACAAACAAATTCACGAGAAATTTCTCGGAACCAAAAAACAACTCCGACAAGTCATTACACCCTCTCAACTTCTCATCAATGGCCAACCTGTTCATACATTAAATCCATTAATTATTGCATTTGATAAACCTGAAGGTTGGACCTCAGAATCCTTAGGCTCACTCTATGATTATACTCATTTTCAATATCATCAAAAGATGAAAAAGAATTTTAAATTGATTGAACAGCAAGATGTAGAGAACCCTTCAAGTAGTAGTACTATTCAAATTCTTTCTCAAGAAGAAGAAGAATATTCCGAAGAAGAAGTTGATGATGATGAATATACTTCTGATGAGCATGAAATTTCATCTTCCGAACAAATTTATTCCATTCTTGATTTATTACCCAAAGAATACCCATTAAGGAAACCAGAATTTCAATCCATTCTGCCATTACCAGATGAAATTGGTGGACTCACGATCATTACTCAATTACATTCTGTAGCGAAAGCGTTCCGATCGGTACGTGCTCCATGTCGGCGAGTCTATCGAATTCAAACACGAGATGGATTTACTGGATTGGAGGATGAAGCTCTGTTGCATTTCCGATCGGATATTAAGGATTCAATTAAGAGAGTGATCAATCCTCCTGAATTTTTCGTAGTGGATGAGAAGAAGCATATTGCTGAAATTTCATTGTATGATTACAAACCAGATAAGATTCGTGAAATGATGAAAGCTATTCGACACGAGTTGTTGAGTGTGAAAAGAATTGGCTTGGGCGGAATTTTACTCGATGAGGATTTACCAGAATTGGTAACTCCAAAATTGAATGATGAAACTGGATTGGTGGAGTTGACCAAACAAGAAATGAAAGCGAACAAGAAACATTGGGTGGCTTTGGATGAGGATAGAATTGAAAAATTAATGAGCTCGAAACAAGAGGTTGTGGATCGATTGAAAATCGAAAAATCAAAGGGCAAAGTAAGACGAGAGGAAGAATTGCAACGATATGCACGAGAAACAAACATTCGAAAAGAAGATTTCAACATTTCGATGAATGTCAAGCAAGAGCAAGAGTTTAAGGAAGAAGCTAAAATAACAGAGACTATTTTGGGTGTGGACCAAGAGTATCCAGAGAAACTTGTACCAAAGAAGAACACCTCTACAAGAGAACAACACAAGCCAAAATACTCATTAACTACAATTACTGAAGCAGCACAAGCAGGAAACCCATTAATGGACATGGAACTTGATGAGAAGGATATGGAAGAATTGCAACGTTGGAATGAAGAAACAACAGAAGAAATGCGTCAATATGCTGCCAAGTTGGAAAGGAAAAAGGCCATTACATCAAAGAAAAAGAAATAAATATTGGTGTTGACCTTAGAAAATTCATTTGTTGGGCTGTGACCTGGTGGATGGAAAAATTTTCAACTCTGTGCAACATTTTGGCTGTGCCTCTATGCGACGTCTTAATGTAGTAACGAATTTATGTCCCTGAATTGATGCTATCCAGTTGCGAATTTCATTAGTCTTGTTGATCTCTAATTTATTCCTTAGTGTAGTTTTTCAATAATGCCAGAGAAGGTTTCAAATGCATCATACACGAAAAAGTTATTGAGAGGAGTTCGGTCTCTACTAATCACCGAGATCACTTCTTGACCCAACTCTCCACCTGCCACAGCACACACAGCATTAATTTCAGCGTGTGCAAATCGACACAATATTGAACAGAATTCTAACGTGAGCATGTCAAGTTGAGCCTTTGTCACACTTGGTAAATATTTCTGAACATGTCCATTCTCTTTAAAGTTGAAAAGAGCTTGCCCGTCTTCAATGGCAGGTAAGATGTTATTGTTTGCTGCTTGATAAATGAGGAGAGTCATGACACCAAGCCACATTTTGGACAAGTTTCTCACCTTAGCCAAGTTTGCTTGGAGGGCAGTTTCTAATGGAACAAAGGAATCTGATTTTTGAATGGTTCCCTTGTCGGCTTTTCTGTTGTTGTCGGGTACAATGTAGTGTGAGTCACGTCAATGATGAACAAGTTTGAATTGGGTCATTGATGGTCATCAGAATCGATTCCATTTGTATTTTGGTGTCATGCAGCAAAAATTTCAATTTAAAAATACAGTTCCCAAAAAACTTACAGCTTGTACTCAAAATTATCCAAATAATCATGGAAAGAAGTTACAATCAGGCCAAATGTATTGGTTGCAATAAATAATATATTCTTCTCTCTGCAAATATTGTTAATTTTAATCTAAAGTTTTTCCCCAAATATTTCCGATATGTATCCACATAAATGTTTCATGATGAATGAATTTTACAAGCAAATCATTGTTCGTTGATGAAATAATTATGAAATTAATAATATTATTCATTATTTCCAATTCAAGTAATTGATTACATGTGTGATCATCATCATCACACACGTGAGTAATCATCACAAAATAAATTTCAATAATTAATTTTCAAGCAAACCAATGTGACACATACTTGTTCCTCCAGCTTTGCATTATTCAAAATAATAAAATCAAAATTATTAAAGAATTCCTTTGGCTTTACCGACAAGGAATCCACTTCCTCAAACGTAACCTTCATCAATGGATTAAGCTCTTGTAAATTTGGATGACAAGCCTTTGCTCTATTCTCTCCGATATTAGCCTCTCGCACTAGAAAATTACATCCCAAATCAAATTGAGTAACTAATTGAGAATCCATAATATGAACCAGTCCTACTCCAGAAAGGACAATGTTCTTACAAATTTCAGCACTTAATCCGTTCATTCCGTACACAAGAATTCGACTCTGATTTAATCTATTTTGTGTTTCAACTCCCCACAAACGAATCTGACGATCATAAATTTTAGCATGTTCCTCCGAGAGCATTGGCATGTGGTCTGAAACAGCAGAATCATTCGTTTGGTTCAACATTTTAATATTATTGGGTGTTGTTGTTTTGAAAACGATATTGTGAATGATGAAATGAAAATATTTTTTCACAAACAAAAACTTTCCCGCCAGCAAAAATACAAAAAAAATCAATTTCAATGACCTCTCAATCATCATCGTCATTACCGACAATATTGAAATACAAGACGGATTTTGAGAAGAGTGTTGTTATAAATAATTTTGAGAATAGAGGATGGATTCGGACCAACGATGGTACGTTCTATCAGAAAATTGTTTCAAATTCTAATTTCCGATGATGACTTTGTGTGGTACATGTGTGTCTTGCTCAGAATCGGATTGGCATATCTATTGGGCCAGTGTACAAACTGTAAAACAATTATTTAATCCCGAGAATGGATTTCGTCTCAATGATCATCAGTAAGTGAATGAGTAAATCATCAATTGTATGATCAACAATGTAAATTCCACTTGTTTTTCTCCATTCTAATCCCATTTCAAATCCAGAATCATTAATCACTTTCCAAATCACTATGAATTAACACGAAAAGATTCAATGGTTAAAAACTTGAAACGATACAAAAAAGAAAATGAGAAAAATGAAGAATTAATTAATCTTACACATTCCCTTAATAATCCAAATTATGTACCACCACCCAAACGAAATATTATGAACTATGTTCCAGTCACTTACACTCTTCCAGCAGATTATTCGTTATTTGTTGAAGAATTTAAGAAAAATCCAAGTCAATTATGGATTATGAAACCTTCAAGCAAATCCCAAGGAAAGGGAATTTTTATCATTACCAAATTGTCACAAGTGAAACGATGGGCCAAAGACAAATGGGCCTATATGGCTGTTAAGGAGCAATACGTGATTAGCAAGTACATTAATAATCCCCTCCTTGTTGGAGGAAGAAAATTCGATTTGAGAATGTATGTCTTGGTGACATCCTATCGACCATTGAAAGCCTACGTCTACAAGGAAGGATTTGCACGATTTTGTACAGAAAAATATACTAACGATATTGAGGATATTGACAATATGTTTATTCACTTGACCAATGTCGCCATTCAAAAACATGGTGATGATTACAATGACAAACATGGCGGAAAATGGAATATTAAAATGTTACGACTATACTTGGAATCCACAGCAGGAAAGGAGAGAACAGACAAAATGTTTGAGGAAATTTATTACATTTTCAAACAGTCACTCTTGGCATGTAAAAATATAATTATCAATGACAAGCATTGTTTTGAAATGTATGGCTATGACTTGTTACTGGATCAGGATTTAAAGCCATGGCTATTAGAAGTCAATGCTTCACCCTCTCTTACCACAACTACGGTTTCAGATCGAATTCTCAAAATGAGCCTCTTAAATGATACGTTCAATATTGTGGTGCATGACGGTTTTCCAGAAAAGAAACTCTACAAGGACTACAAGTATGATAAAAAGCAACCCAAATTGGGGAATTATGAAGTGCTCATTGATGAGCTGAATGATGAGCCAGAAATTGAAATTGATCCAAACAAACTCAAGATGGGAATGGCAGCTGCACGAAGAATTGCAGAGAATGCTGCGCTAAAGAGGAAGGTGAACACTGCTTCGAACGCCAATCCAGGTGCCAGAAATACCAAATGGTATTAATGAGTACATGGTACTTGTTGTCACGAAGAAAAATGAAACCAAAAGATCACATAATCCATGTCATATAAAGAATTTGTTTAATTTCAACAATTCTCCTGCAACAATTCAACAGAATTCTGAGCTCCATCTTGCAGCTCACAAGATTGTCTCCATTTCTGTCCATGACTTGCTACTTGCGTCCTCGAACGACTCTTGACATACTTCTCTGCAATCAATTTCCAATTATTACCACATTCTTTCAATCCTTGAAGAAACCGTTCATGTTCCTCCTCCGTCCACCATCCCTTATTGTGACCATTCTTGTTTTGAGTGGCAATACTTTTCGTTGCAGATGTTTTTAATCTCAGTTTTCCAATTTTTTGTTTCGAGTATTGAGGTGAAAGTTTTGTTTCAGAATCATCATCTTCTTGTTGATGATATTCGTGAGATGTGGATTCTTTCGAGGAAGTGTCTTTGGATGGTGATTTACAAGTTGTTTTTCTAAGGAGGGTTGAAGTGGTAGAGTTTTGAGACGACATGTTTGATCCCAGAGATGGTTCATGGAATGATGTGGAATTGTTTGTTTGATTGATTTCACATGCCGACGTCGCAGAGGACGACGAGGACGAGGTGGAGGATGGCGAATCTCTGACCATAGAGTTCATTGGATTCATTCGTGGTGGTAAATCTTCTCTCGTGTGTTGATGATCGACGACCACATTCAAATGTTGTTGGTTATGATCATGATTTGAGGAAGAAGATGAAAACGTCGATAACACCAGAGAAGATGAGCTCGATCGATCATTAAGGAAGTAGTTGTGGTGATCATAATCCGTATATGGATGAGAGATACATGGTGTCCTGTGTGGGGAAGATTGCAATTGGTTTTGATCCTTCTTATACATGGAAAGTACTAGTGCTCGTGGAGGATGTCGTCGTCGTTGTTCACATTGTTGTTTCTGTTTTTGGTAATCATGAGGAGGAGGAGGAGTACTCATGGAACACGGAGAATATCTTTCAAGAGAAGAAGAAGGAGAGTAACAAGCAACATGCTCCTCCAAAACATGTTCAACACCTTGTAACAAGGTATTACTCATCATCATCATGGAAGAGCTCTTGGTCGGTAAATGACAATGTCCATAGTTATAGTTATGGTTACAGTAAGAATTGTTATGATTAAAGTCATGTCGTGAGGATATGGATGTTGTTGGAAGTGGCGGTGGTGGTTTAAAAGTCAGCTTGGATAAATATTCTCGATCAGAATCATGGGGTGGTGGTGTTGATGTTGTGAACATGGATGGCATTTCTGAATATACAGAAGATAGATACAAGTGTTCAATGGAAGGTAATGGACAAGTATTGAGAGGATTTTCATTCCAATCCATCATCATCATGGGAAGACTCTTCATCATGGTTCGCATCTTTTACTTTTAAAAAGGGTAAGCCGGACAGTATATGATACAATCAATTTTGAATGGGATGGTTATGATGATGAATATATGTATTCGTTGGATTGATTCAGTAGGATATGATGATGAGGATATATGGTTTGGTATTCTCTAATTTTGATTTATTTCAATAATAATCCAAACAGAAAAATATGTGAGTATTGCGTGGTTGTGCAGATGCGTGTGGTTTTTTTTTGCTTGGGTTGTGTGAGGAGTAATAAACGCATCATGGTCCAATCGAAATGCGAGGTTGGGAGTTTTTTGGACCAATCCGGATATTTGTTCAGTATGACGGTTGACGAAAGTGAAAATATAATTTTCAGAGCACTTCCGCGCCAATGAAGTTTTTTCGTTGTGTGCTGGAAAACAATACCCTCTTGGTACACATCCTATGTGAGAGAAGTCTCATGAAATGTTTTAAAACTCCACTCATTACTCCTCTTCATGATAATCATTCATCATTTTGAGAAATCTTCTCTTGATAAATGCCAACACATTCTCCACCACAACATCCACTCTCAATATTGGATCACATGCATTGGATGCTTTGGCAGTTGGTCTTGCATTGCATTGAGTCGATACATTCTCCTCTCCTCTCAATAATTCCAAATAATCCACAACCATCGTGTTGGGAAGAGCTCTCAAAATTTGAAAACTCTCTCCGGTGTGACATCCTCGATCTGAATAACATTCTGGAGCAATGAGAACGGTAGTATCTTTTCTCATATACACTGAGTAATAAGCAGCACTTCCTTGATCGGAAATGTAGACATCCATGTTGGAAAAGAATTTCACTTGTTGTGAAACATTCATGGATTGAAGATCTAATTCCACAGATTCTACTTGAAGAGGTTGTTTCGAATGATAGAGGGAGAGATAGGGATCGTTTTGTAACTTGTCTCGAATGGCCTTAATTAATTCGTCGACGTTCCAAATAATTTTTCCATGCCCGGAGGAGAGTGACTTTTTGTGAATGACAATTTTCACAGGTTTTTTCTTTAAAAACGGAATCATTGCTTGTGGATCATCTTCCTCACTTGGTAATGGAGAAATTCCAAGCTTGTAATAGACTAATTGTCGATACTGCACAAAAATCATCTCGCGCGATGAAAATGCTCGAAACAGACCTGAAGTGAGTCCAATTCTGAATGTGGAAAAACATGCTTGTAAGACATTAGTTCTTGGAAAATTCGTTCCTCGTGGTGTGTTGCGACATGGCAACAAATCGACACGTGTGAAATCGTTCTGTCGACACAATTGAAGCGGTGGATTGTTGCTAAATAATTGTGGTAATTTCAATGAAAATTCATCAGCCAAACTCTCATTATATCGATAGGAACCAATCCAATTGTGAGCAACTTGTTCATAAATATCATCCAAATAAAGAATGTGATTATTTAACAGAGTGTCCAGATCTCGAGTTGAAGCGAGTGGATTAAAATTCATCATGAGCATGACAATCATTGCAATATTGTCAAATAAAAAGTGCCCCATATTTCCTGCAGCGTATCTTTTCAGTACATAGACTGGTTCAGAGTAGAATTTGAAATTTTTATCCAATTCGACAGGTTCTCCTAAAATGGAATGTAAGGGTTTGTCAGACCATGTGGAACCTGGAATGGAAGATGCATTTAACACTTTTTCAACAATAGAATTCCCTTGTTGGGTTCGTTCAAATTCAAAAACTAATTCTGAATCCAAAACTCTCATAAAGTGAAGACCTCGATTCGATTCAAATCTTCCCTGATTATAAATCCAAGGTCTTCGATTCAATTCGTCGAGAATGGAATCTTTTTTACCAAATAATCGATCTTTGGACATGTACAATAAAAACTGTCCTCTCGTATTGATACAAACATTTTCAATTTGACATGATGTGAATAATGATTGTCGAGTGTATCGATTGCATTGATAATTTCCAAACATGACTTGTCTTCGTCGTCCCATTTTGTTTCTCATGATGATGTTTGAGACTTTTGGTGTCGTCGTCACAGATCGATGCGAGTTCGAAAGAACCTTATCCTCTGCATGTTCCAAAATTTCTTGTTGAGCAGAAAAGTTGTTTTTCGTCCATTCTGAATTCAGTTCAAGTGGCCGACGTGGTTGTATTCCATGTAAAAATTTTGAAACATTCCGAACGAGTACCAATCCATAACATGCACAAAATAAAAACATGAGAAATACAAGGAAGGATGTGAGCAAAAAACGAGGACGTTTCCATAAAGAGGGTTGTGAAATCGAGGGCCACATGGAGGACACACGATGGTCTCTCAGATGTGGAAACATTTTTTTGAAATTGTTCATACAACCGTCATGCACATTTTTGTATTTCCTTTTTTAGAGAGATAACATGACAGAATCAACCAATGGTGAAAATAACTTCAATATTAGTATTTTTATTAATACTGTGCGAGTCGAATGAAAAGTAGCTCTTTTCCAAACTCAATTCCACAATTTTATGAAAAAGTATCGTCATCCTATTCACCTTTAACAAAACTAAAACATTTGATTCTGAACCATTTTCAAATATCTCTTTTTCAACATGGCACTCACAGTCTCTACAATCAAATCTGGATCAAATATTGGATCACATCCTTCCTTGTCTTTTTCAGTAGGTCTTGGCTTACACGAATTTTTGTGATCAATTTCCAAATACGAAACAATATTCGCATGTGAAATACCTTCAATGGTCATGAAACCTTCACCGACCCAACAGCCAGTATCTAAATTTTCTTTCATCCAACATGAAGGACCAACAATGGCAGTCGTGTCCTTTCTCAAATACACTGAATAATAAGAAGCACTTCCTTGATCGGCAATGTAAACATCAATATCGGAAAAGTATTGAACTTGTTGAGAGAGAGGTAAATGAGCAAATTCCAAAACTTGTATTTCAATTCGTTGGTGTGAATGATATAATTTCAAATATGGGTCGGAAGGAATTCGAGTTTTTAGGGCTTGATAAATTTCGTCAACGTTGTAAATAACTTTTCCGTGTGAACTCTTGTGGATAGGTTTTTTGTGAATGACAACTTTGATTGGTTTCTTGTTCAAGTAAGGAATCATTTTGGTCGAGTCGTCTTCTTCACTTGGTAAAGGATAAATTCCTAATTGATGAAATGTCAATTGTCGATAAAAGCTAAATACAAATTCTCTTCCTGGAAAACTCTTAAAAACAGGTTCTGCTCCAACACGAAATTGTGAAAAACATGCTGCCAATGTCACATGTTGAGGAGATGGCTCTGAAACGAGTGGGACATCTTCTGCATTTCGACATGGTAATTTTTCAAGTGAATACTTGTCTTTTGTTTTACACAGTTGAAGTATTGGATTTGAAGTCACATATCTCGATACCTCCAGAGTAATATCGTCCGATTGTTTTTCATCATAATGGTAGGTACCAATCCAATTGTGAAGTGAATGATCGAAAAGATCATCCAAATAGAGAATGTGATTGTCGAGCAACTTTTTAAAATCGTCATACGTAGGAGCAAAGGTAAATTCAAATTCCATTTGTTGAGCAATGACCATGGCAATGTTATCAAAAATAAAGTGTCCCATATTTCCCGAGGCATATCTTTTCAAGGCATACACAGGTTTTGGAAAATAGCGAAAATTCGAATCCAATGTCACAATTTTTCGAGTTGTTGTCTCTTCTTGATTGACATTTTCATTATCTTGATCGTTTTTGCTGACTGCTATTGGTGCTTTGGTTGGATGATCCAACTTTAAGGTCAATTCTTGATCCAAAATTCGAACTCGAAAATCACCTCTCTGAGTTTCCAATCTTCCCTGTGAATAGGTCCAAATCTGTTCGTTGAAATGTTTGAAATATTCACTTTCATTTCCACGGAAGAGTCGATTTTTTGGATGAAATAACACAAATTCACCTCTCGTTGCCAAACACAAATCATCAAAATGACACGAATAATACGTGTAATGAGCTTGACCTTCGAATTTGTAATTACATCGATAATTTCCATTCAATTTCATATGAATATCATATCTTGGAAAAAGTGGCAATTCTTGTGGTGGTGGGAATGAGTTGGATGCTTTTAGTGTATTGTCATCCTTGTTGTTCACATGATTCATCGTTTTATGATTCATCATGTTTTGATTTGTGTGATGATTCAAATGTTGATCATTCGAAGAAGAATTTTGAGAATGTGATGATTTGGAAATATTCTCGAACCGAGTGGATGTGGTGGTTATTCGTTTGTTATGAACAATTTGATAATATAAATAAATAATGGTGATGATAAAAGTGCAAAGAATGAATAATTTGAAAAGATTTACTCGATGTTTGGAGAAGAGGAGAGAACGGAAGGAAATGTGTGAGGAGTGATGGGAAGGAGAAGGTAGTGTATGGGTGGACGAAAGTCCGAATAATGATGATGGTGCAAGAGAGTCTTTGAAATTGCGTGTGCTCATTTTTCTTGTTGGACTTGCCAACTGTCAAAAGTGTCAACTACTAAAAAGGCAACCAAGCGACGGTAAGCCATTAATTTAAAATCTTCAAATATCTTTTCTTCAACAATTGCACCACACTCTCAGCCATGATTTGAGCGTCCAAAATGGGATCACAAATCGATCGAGCCTTTGCCGAAGCATCTCGTCGTTGACATTTCACATTCTTTGCGTCCAACTCTAAATAATCAATCACTTGAACTGCTGGCAATGCTTTCAAAGTTTGAAATGCCACACTCGATTCACATCGACTTGAATGATTCACAGCAGCAGTATCGTTGAAAACTGATGTGCATTCAGGTGCCACAATCATTGATGTATCTGCTCTCATAAACATGGAATAATAAGCTGCACTTCCTGAATCGGTAATGAACACATCCACTGTTGAGAAATAATTCACATGTTCATGGGAAAAACTTTTTGGAAATTCAAAAAACTCTACTAGAATCGATGAACGTAAATGAATTAATTGTTGGAGGAGAATATCATTTTGAATATTATGCGAGGTGAATCTTTCTTTTAAGGTTTTTGCAATTTCTTCAGCATTGGCAATAAATGGACCATGAGAATGTGAGGAAGGTTTGTGAATCGCTACTCGAACCATTTTAAAATCTAAATATTCAATCATTCGATGCGTATCATTTTCTTCGTGTGGAAGTGGTCGAATATTGAGATTGGAATATGCCAATTGTCGTAATGTTGAAGCCACACTTTCTCTTCGATATAAATTTTTGTGAAAGGGTGCAGTAAGACCAACTAGTAAATGTGAAAAGCAGGATTGCAAGACGAGTGGTTTTTCAGAGCCTTGATTTTTCGAATGATGATTGGAAACAGTCGAAGATTTTGCACCCACATTTCGACATGGTAATTTCTCAATGGAAAAATGATTCAATTTCGTTTCACAGAGTTGCAAGGGTGGTCGCTTACTGATCAAACTCGCCATTTTCAATGAATGATCATCAGCAATGGATGGATCTGAAAAGTGAGTGGCTACCTCATTATTAGGAGTGACCTTATCAAACACATCATCCAAATATAAAATGGTGTGATTGAGTAGAGATTCGAATTCTTGCGAATTTGAAACTGGATGATAGCTCATCATTAAGGAAACGACCATCAGTAAATTATCGACAAGAAATCGATCGAATTTTCCAGCAGCATATCGTTTGAGAGCATAGGTTGGTGTTGTGAAATAGGTAAAGTTCGAATCCAATTCAATCGGAGTGATTGTGACACCGTCATGGGTGAATGGCTGACTCGTTTTTTTGTAATGTGTGAAAATTTCTCGAATTTTTTGTGGTGCAGTGTTGGACCATCCAGAAATTGAACTTGCTCCCAACCATTGTGTTTCAGAGATCTGTTGAGAACTCGTGTTGGTAATATTTTGTGAATATTGTTTGACATGTTCCAAAACAAGATCTGCATCAATGACTCGTACTTGAAAATTTCCTCTCAATGTTTCCACTCGTCCTTGAGCATAGGTCCAAACTTCGGAATTGAGTACTTTCAAGAAATCTTTTTGAGAGCCCCAGAGTCGTTCGGAAGGATGGAACAAGACAAATTGGCCATTCGTTGCAAGACAAATATTTTCAATGTCGCACGTGATGAAGGATGTCTTTCTGACAAAATAACGATTACATCTGAAATTTCCGAATAATGGTTTTCTAGTGACAGGGTCATCGTGTGATGATACTAGAGGTACTAGATACCAAATTCCTAACAGCCATGACGAAACAAGTGCGAGAAGAAACACGGAGAAGTGAGAAGGGTACATGGTTGGGACAAAATTCAAGAATTTTTTTTGGCAAGTGACGGAACACAACGAATAACCTGAGACGCAAGGCATCAATAAAATTGTGACCTTGTCATTGACAGCAATTTTTGAGTTTTATAAGTTAAAATTTACAAGAGGCCTAGGGTGATGTGTTTGAGGTAGATGTGAGTTGTAATAAAACGCAAGCTTATTCCTTGCTCTTCTCAGCAGTCTTTTCTTTCTTTTCCTTCTTCTCTCTCTTCTTAGTCAATGGCTTTCCAGAAGATTGTTGATACTTGGTCACAGCCTTTGTACCTTCAGAAACAGCATGCTTGGCCAATTCACCAGGGAGAATCAATCTGACTGCAGTTTGAATCTCTCTTGACGACAAGGTCTTAGTTCCGTTGACTCTACACAATTGAGCAGCTTCGTTGGCAATTCTTTCAAAGATGTCTTGAATGAAGGAGTTCATGATGGACATGGCCTTGGTTGAGATACCAATATCGCTGTGGACTTGTCTCAAGACCTTGTAAATGTAAGAGCTGTAGGATTCATGTCTAGATTTCTTCTTCTTCTTATCGTCATCAGCTTCACCTTCAGCCTTGTCAGCCTTTGTGGTCTTTGGTGCCTTTGGCTTCTTGGTTTCCTTTTGTTTATCGGATTTTTCAGTCTTCTTGGTTGCTGGAGCCATTTGTTGTTACGTTGTTGATGTTGTTGGGAATTTTTTTTGTGGTGTGGGAATTTTTATTGCTGAAATTTTTTAAACTCAAAACGCCATAACAGCTTTTTGTAAACTAAAGTGGATCGAATTTTTTGGCGGGTCAAGTGCCTTTGGTGAGAAAAATTCGAATGGAACCACTTCCTTGAGACACTTCTTCAAACCTTCAATTACATGTTGCAAAGGCGATCTGATTCTGTATCAGCGAGTTGTTTTGATCAGATCATAAGTTTCGTTCAACACCAACGCCTCGTTTCGCAAGTGTGCTTTTCGATAACCTAATCAGAGGTTCCCGCTCACACCAAATATCCAACCGTTACACATGAAAAAATTCAGAAGAAATGATCAAATTGCCTCTTCAGCATCAACAACAGCAATTTTCATCATCATTTTCACATAGAACCGACTCGACATTTTCTCCCAACAATGCAACTACTAAAACCTGTTCATCCCCATCCACCACAACATCCAAGATGATGAACAAGGTACGAGTTGTTTCTCGTGTTCGTCCATTACTCTCCGATGAATTTGAAAAATCCAACTTTAAAACATGCCGAGTGGCTTCTAGTAGTAATAGTAGCACTACCACAAGTAGTATGGTCAATGATACTCCTAAATCACCTCCTCATAATCTCGTCTTTATGAAAGATCCAAGAAATCCCGGAGATGAAATTAAATTTGAATTTGACTCGAGTTATGATGAAGAGGCTACACAGAATGAAATCTTTCAACATGAAATTCTACCCATATTACCATCCCTCTTTGAAGGTATAAACACGACTGTATTTTGTTATGGAATGACCGGAAGCGGTAAGTTTTTGACTTTCCCACAATACAGCTGCTCTCTAAAAAACGTTTGTTTTCTTCTTCTTACACTCTCTTGGATCATCATCTCTTGCATCATTATCATGTAGGCAAAACATTTACCATGCAAGGAGGAGAAACGGTTGAAAACATGGGAATTATTCCACGTGTGGTTCAACAATTACTCTTTCAAGTTTCCAATCGGCACTACAATGAATCAGAATGTAAACTCTCCATGTCCTATCTTGAAATTTATAACGAGAAGGTCCATGATTTACTTGTCGTTCCTTCTTCATCCAAAATTTCATCTTCTCCTTCTTCTTCTTCTTCTTCAACAACAACAACAACAATAACTCCATCATCTCTTGTAGATAACACTTCATCCTCCTCCCCTGCTTTTAAAGATCTCCCCCTTCACGAAGATAAAAACAAGAACATCATTGTGAAAGGACTTGGTTCCAAAACCATCTCAACCTACGATGAATTTTGTGAATGGTTCTATCAAGTGGGTATGAAGAATCGTAAAGTAGCTTCCACAAAACTCAACGATCGATCTTCACGTTCCCATGCCATTCTCACTCTCACCGTCAAGAAGAAGGATGAAAAAACAGGTCAATGGTTCACTGGAAAAATCAATCTCATTGATTTGGCAGGCTCAGAAGACAATAGAAAAACCGGTAATACTGGTACTCGACTTACTGAATCGAGTAGTATCAACACCTCTCTTTTCAGCTTGCGTAAAGTTGTGGATCAACTCAATTCAGGCACCCAAAAAGTTTCATATCGAGACAGTAAACTCACTCGACTCTTGCAAGATTCATTGGGAGGTAATTCTCAAGCCATCATGATTATTAACATTTCTCCCTATACTGAACATTATATGGATACCTTCAAATCTCTACGTTTTGGAATGAAATCTCAATCCATTGTAAATAAGCCAACCATTCATACTAGTTATTTCGAGAATGAGGAAGAACGAGCAAAGCTTGAAAACATGGCAAATATTGGATATGGGGCAGATCGAGAGACTCAACTCAAACTTCTTCAACTCGAGAAGGAGAAGCATTTGATGCAACGTAAAATTGGTGTTCACACTTCGAAAAGTCTCTCATATTCGGATTTGATTCAAGTCGCTACGAATTTTGCAACGAAAGAGGATTTGGAAAGAGCTCAAGCAGATTTGAGACAAGGATTGTTGGATCCAATGTTGATCAAAAAGAGTATTTCATTACAGGATGAAATTCTCGATCGGTAAGTAGTACATTTTACTCCACAATTATTTAATATCGTAAATTGTGTATAACATATGTACTCTCGCTTGGACCTATGATGATTGTTTTCTTTTCATGAACCAATCTAAATCGTTCCCAATGTTGTTTCCATCATTTTAGATTGGCAAAATTGGAACATTTTGCATTGACTCAACAAGGGAGTTCTGTTGCCTTACCAAATTTACAGAGCATTCAAACAGAACTTGGTCACAATTCACCACAGATGCAATCTTCTCCTCTTGCACAACTCGATGACATTTTGGACATGAAAAAGAGACTTTATTCCATACTGTCAGAGATTGATTCCAAGAGCTCCTCTCCGCCACCTTTGAATACTCAGTCTTCTTCTCCGTTTTCTAATAATACTCCAACATGGTCATCAACAAGCTCAACAACACCTTCTTCCAGCAAGTTAGAGAACAACACTTTGAGCCATGACAAGTTGTCGTATTCAACACCACGATCTGCCCAATCATCAGCCACTCCTTCAAGTCGCAGAAGTAACACCTTACCCACACCACCTCTCTTTTCCAAAACTAAGACCACTAAGACAACTCTTATTGGATCGACCTCAACCACTCCACTTCACTCTTCTCCAAACAAACCCTTTTTTCAACCTCCCAAAATTCGTGCTCAAAAAAGTTTCGAAAAGCCAAATCTCATTGGTAAAGTGACCACTCCTCTCAAATCTTCCGTAACCTCAACAACCTCAACAACCTCAACGCCAACAACAGCTTTGAAAGAAGTTTCATCATTGAAAAAATCACAAGTTTCTACTACTACTACTCCTGCAGGAACTCTCGCTCGTACACCACTCGCCAATATTACGAACCACACCACCACCACTACGACGACGAATGGAGCAATGATGCGTTTGACTACGACGCCTTCTCCTTCAGCTTCAACATGTACGATTGGAAAGGCAACAACGAGTAAGGTAACACCAAGAAAAGTATTCGCGGATACACCAAAACAAAATCAGGCCATAGTGTTGGAAAAGGCATCCTCTTTGGAACATTTGAAACTAAAGCACAAACCAAGTAAGAAACCCTTGTCATCCTTAACAACACCGACAACAATGAAAAGTAGTTCTACCGCCACCACACCTCCTTTGTCAGTGAATCATCATCAGAAACAAGTAGCATCTGCCTCTAGCAATAAGCCAAATTCTCTCGATTTTAACATGACAGTCGGTTCCATTTCTCCAATTAAGAATCGGGACCATGTCTTGAAGGACATGACACTTCTCTTTCCTGAGAATCACAATATTCAACAAATATTGTCGAGTCTTGATCATGTAACTACGGATGACCTATTTCCAAAGAGCTCTACCGAAATCAAGACGTGTGAAACTGGCTCATGTGAAGGTATCAAGCAACCAACGGATGAGAATTCAAACTTGAAAGAATCTAATTGTAAAAACCAACAGGTACAAATCCCAACGAACACTCAAGTCGAATTAGTTCTATCTACAAAAAATCCCTCAATCAAGAGAAAACGATTCGATTCAGATGATGAAAGCAAAGAATGTACAGCTTCATTGGAGAAGGCATATACCGATGACGACAATCGCAAAAACAAGGTTCTGATCAATGAGGACAACATGGCAATTCCAACAGGTAAGGCAAGCAGCACTCGAGCTTTAAAAACCACTCGGAAAAAAGTGACCATCAAAGAAAGTGATGAAGAAGAGCAAGATAATACCTCTTCAGATACTGAAGAAAAACATAACACGTTCAAACCCAAGCTCACAAGAAGGAGAGAAAAGAAATCGAATCGTGTTTGTAAAATTTATGATAATGTACTTCTTCTCGAGAAGAGTGAATTTGCTTTTGTCTCTCCTCCAATGGAAGGCAGTGGTGTGGCAACAGACAAGTCCAGGGACAACAAGTTTTCACTTGCACGAGAATATATCAAACAAGCCAATACTCTCAAAAAAGAAGGAAATCTTGAGAATGCTCTCGAACTATTCGAAAAGGCTTTACAACTCATACCAAGTAATGAAAAGTTAAAGCAAAAGATTGCCAAACTCGAAAATGCTCTTAAGAATTCTATGGTCTTGACTGGAGAAGAAGAAGAATTTCAATTTAATGATGACAAGGATGATGTTGAAATGGTCGATTCCATGTCACAACAACAAGAATCATCGAATGACACCGACAAGTTGTCAAGAAGCGATACCACCACAAATGAAAAATCCACACAAGACAAATTACTTGATTACCTTAATGACACCAATAATGGAATGAAGCAACTCAAGAAACTTGCCACCATTGGAGACAAGAAGGCAGAGAAAATTATGGAATGTCGACCTTTCAAAACCATTTCAGAATTATCGAGAATTGGATTTGGAGAGAAGGGCATTACAACCTTCATTGAAAAGAATGAAAAATTCATTTCTGAATTGGATGAGTGAAGATCTCTTCCATGAGAATTTAGGGAATTTCTTTTATTAAAAACAGAATCTATTGAAAATTGTTGTTTCGTTTATTCTCATGTATTTTCTCTATTCCTCTCGCACCTTACTTTGTAAAGATACATCATGAAGAAAACATACCCAAATTGAAACTTGCATTTTCATCTTGCTTTTCTTTGGTTTCGGAGCCATCTTCACCTGATTCTGAAACAAAAAAAATGCCTCAACACAATCCACCCCATTACTTCAAAGACAACTCGCTGGAAGGCTTTATCTCCACGTTTGGTGATTATGTGGATAAAAACAATCGAATTGTTTATAACATGTGGGACTATTATGATTACTATTATGAAGATGAAAATGCTACGGTGAGATCAATTCCGATTGCTCTTATTTTGGAATTACAAGAAGATCTTTACGTGATGGATCAATTACCGAAATACATCCTATGTAGTGATTTTACTAAAATTCCGAAAAAGAAATATAGACCTTCTTATTTGTTCATTGCCATTCGAACAAAAGGTTACTGGATGGAATTTTCATTTGCATTATTGAAATTAGGAAAGCTAGGCTCTTGGGTTGATGAGTCTCGGCTCACATTCCTGTACCACTCGAATGATCACTCCTCTCGAAGTTATTCCATTACCGACCAATTAGACAGCATTTACATTTCGTACTGCGACGAAAAGCAAATGAAGTTTCTAGTTGGACTTGAACTCCAATTTGGCTTGGTGCTGAATGAACAAGATGTGAAAAAATCCACGTTTCATTATAGTGAGACGAATGATCATTTATTGCTACGATATCATCGTATTTGGGGTGACACAGTTTTCTGTCGTAACAATGAAAGGACCTATTATCACATTGTGTTGCAGTATCATTGGATTCACACTCATGGAGCTTCTAGAACTACAGATTTAATTCGTGTTTCTACTCGATCTGAAACCAATGCAACATCAAATGTTGAACAATTGATATGTCTGAAAGATGAGGCTGTTCAATATGCAGTACTTATGGAAAAAGGAGACTCTATGGAAATGAGACATGATCAACAAGATGATGCACAATGCAAAGAATTTTATATTATCTTGTCTTGTCAAAAGTCAAACAATAAGAACACCAATGCCATCTATAAGGTTTATGTCCCAAAGAACGAATCACCTTCTAAAATACCTGTTTACTTTACTAATTTTGAAAAGTATTTTGTGGACGAACAGCATCATTATAATTTAGAAATTGTCTCTTATTGCAAATTAACTTGCAACAAATATTTGGTAATGGCATTTTGTAAATCTAGGCGACACAGTATCGACAAGATAACCTCATTTGAACAATTATTTACAGACCGAACCATGTGGCTCTTGATTGACGTCCACACACATCACATCAAACAGGTTTTCCCAAGAGTTTATGATTTGGCAGCACAACAACGAAAAAACAAAGATGAGTTTACAACCGTTACAAAACGTAAGAGAGGAGGAAGGTTTGCAATTTCAAGACGATCCGAATGTGAAGATGGAGATTTAAATGGAGGTTATTCCAATGTGACTCTGCTAAAACAAATTAAGAATTTGAAAGGAGTGAATGATAAGGATTATGAACATCAAGACACTCTCGATCCAGAGTCAGAAAATAATAACATGTTCGATCAACACAAGATTTCTTCGAATATTCCTTCTTTGAATCGAGTTTCGTTGAAAGCAT